TCATTGTTTAGGATAGTGCTGGCTTGTGATGCTGTGTAGTAAAGGCAGTTACTTTCCAATAGGTTTTGATTGTGTGTCAGATTATGTAGGTTTAGATCAGGGTCAACGTGATCAATCATCTTCTAGGTTTAAATTATGGTTATTTATATCCTGAGTTGTGTGTTGAGTTTTAGTACTGATATCTGTAGTGGTGGGAAGTTTGGACAATTATATAGCTATAGCATTTTGGTCATGTAGAGTATAGTCACTAATACACATAATGAAGTTGGTGTTGTCTATGTGTTGTGCTGGAATGAGCTAAAGTACAACTAGGTATAAACTAATAATATAAAAATACAAATTAAAAATAGCACAAGACTCTCACTTGTAATTGCACTAAGGTCTAATGTAATGACTTTGGTATAGTCTATGTATTGAGCTAGAATGAGCTATAGTACAACTAGGTTTAATCTAATAATACAAAAATACAAATTAAAAATAGCACTCTGCTTTTATCTATCCCATCTCAGGCTATAATTTATTGTATTCTTCAGATCCTTTTCCTGATACGACCTTTAACGAAAGTGCCCTTCTTCTACGCACTATTCCGTACCATTAGCTATTTGTTCATTCTTCGCCGCATAGGTGGTATACACTCTGTTCTTTGTACCTCTCTCCTTCTTGAGCATTATCTATTCTGGATATTGCCCTTCTTGTTTCGTCATTACCACCACCACTTCTGTTACTTGGCGATTTTAATGCCCATCATTTTGTCTGGGGGGTCTCACTGTGATTCCAGTGGCATTCAGCTAGAGGCTTTTCTTGCTTCCCACACCCTCCATGTTTTAAATACAGGTAATCACACCCATTTTGATCCTCGTACTCATATTCTCTCTTGCATCGATCTCTCAGTCTGCTCTTCCTCCGCTGCACTAGACTTCACCTGGTCTGTTCTCCCGGATTTACATGACAGTGATCATTTTCCAATCATTCTTACTTCCCCTTCATATTCACCACCTCTTCATAACCCACGCTGGCAATTTGATCAGGCAAATTGGGACCTTTACTCACAACTAACTGTTTTTAGTGAGGTTCCTTCTTCGTCCTCCATTGATGAGCTTTTACACCTCTTCTCATCCTCAGTTTTAACCGCAGCTTCTCATTCTCTACCCCAAACTTCAGGCAGGCATTCTCAGAAATGTGTGCCTTGGTGGTCTCCTGCTTGTGCTCGTGCAGTACGTTTGAAACGTGCTGCGTGGGGCAGGTACCGGTATAATAGAACCACTGAGAGACTTCTTGATTTTAAGCAGAAGCGTGCGATCGCTCGCCGTGTCATCCGTGACACTAAACACACTTGCTGGCGAGATTATGTCTCCACCATCACCTCTGCTTGCTCTATGAGTGCAGTCTGGAAAAAAGTACAGAAACTGAGTGGTAAATATTCTCCTGACCCGGCTCCTGTTCTGCGGGTTGCCGGTGTTGATATAGCAAACCCTCTAGATGTTGCCATTGAAATTGGCAATCATCTGGTCCGTATTTCTCTGGGGCTCCTTCTCTGCTCCTCATTTCTTTCCTCAAAGTCTGCCAGAGAGCTAGCACCCTTGGACTTTTCTTCTCTCAGAGAAGAACAGTATAATGTGCCTTTTACTACACTTCAGGAACTGGAGGCAGCACTCTCAGCTTGCCGATCATCGACAGCTGGGCCCGACGACATTCATATTTGTATGTTACAACATTTACATCAGTCAGCCCTTGCAGTCCTCTTATGCCTTTTCAATCTTATTTGGTCACAAGGAGTTCGTCCACAGCTGTGGAAATCTGCCATTGTTCTCCCTTTCCGCAAACCGGGTACTACGGGACATGAAGCCTCCCACTATCATCCCATCGCTCTTACCAGTGCAGTTTGCAAAGTGATGGAACGTCTGGTAAATAGACGTTTAATGTGGTATTTAGAGACACGCAACAGTCTCTCCACTTGTCAATATGGCTTTTGTAAGGGCCGTTCTACCATAGACCCCTTACTACGTTTGGATACGTATGTTCGTAATGCCTTTGCGAATAACCGCTCAGTTATTGCCATATTTTTTGACCTTGAGAAGGCATATGACACAACTTGGAGGTATAATATTTTGGCCCAAGCCCACTCCTTAGGCCTCCGAGGCAATCTACCATCTTTCCTTAAGAACTTTTTAACTGACAGACATTTCCATGTTCGAGTCAATAATATGCTCTCCCCGGACTTTGTCCAAGCTGAAGGTGTCCCTCAGGGATGTGTTCTGAGCACAAAACTTTTTCTCCTTGCTATAAATGATTTGGCCTCTGTTCCTCCATCCAATACTTGGTCATCACTCTATGTAGATGACTTCGTTATTGCTTGTACAGGCACTGACTGTCACCTCAATACAGTTTCTCTCCAGCATGCAGTCGACCGTGTTTCCAATTGGGCCACCACGCATGGGTTTAAATTTTCCAGTACCAAAACTCACCAAATTACTTTCACTAGACGCTCTGTCATCTCCGATCATCCTTTGTACCTCTATGGCTCCCATATCCCTGAACATGATACAGTCAGGTTTCTAGGCCTTGTCTTTGACCGTATTTTATCCTGGAAACCCCACATTACCATTGTAAAGGCAACGTGTCACAGCCGGCTGAACCTTCTTAAAACCCTTGCTCATCTTTCATGGAGAGCTGATCGCCGAACTCTCCTTCGCCTACATTCAGCCCTCATTTTATCAAAACTCAATTATGGGGAAACCCGATCTATTCAGCGGCCTCTCCTGCTACTCTCTCTAGCCTTAACCCCATCCATCACCAAGGATTACGTTTATGCCTTGGTGCTTATCACTCTTTCCCTGTTGAGAGCCTCTATGCAGAAGTGAATGTTCCATCCTTGTCTGATCGCCGTGATGCCCATTGCCTTCGCTACTATGTGCGCTCTCACGATCTCCGCAATCCTTCCATTTATAGAATGGTCACTGATATTAGTAGAATTTCTTTATTTGTTCGCTGCCCCTGTTTGCTCCGTCCCTTCTCTCTTCGCCTACATTCGCTCTTGTCTTCCCTTCAGTTACCGCCTTTATATGTTCATGTAGCATTTCACTTTTCCCTACCCTCCTGGGAAGATCCAGCTGTTCGGGTCTGTTCTTTCTCACTCCCTTGCTCGAAAGCCCAACTGCCTATGGTGGCTTCCCGCTCTCTTTTTCTTGACCACTTCCATTCTCATTCTCATGCCATCACCGTGTACACAGATGGCTCTAAATCTTCTGATGGCGTCAGATTCGCAGCAGTGTTTCCGGACAGCATCGTGCGAGGGCATTTACTATCTTCAGCTAGCATTTTTACTGCTGAATTGTATGCCATTCTTGCAGCACTTATTCGTATCACATCTATGCCTGTGTCATCATTTGTGGTTGTCTCAGACTCCCTTAGTGCTCTACAGGCTTTACGGAAATTTGATACACCTCACCCTCTAGTTCCCCGTATCCAACTTTGGCTATGCCGTATCTCTACCATGCATAAAGATATTGCTTTTTTTTGGGTCCCTGGTCATGTTGACGTACAGGGCAATGGACAGGCAGACACTGCTGCACGGTCAGCAGCACATGACCTACCAATTTCATATAGAGGTGCTCCATTTCCAGACTATTTTGCTGTAATAGCTACCCACCTTCACACCCGTTGGCAACAACGTTGGTCTTCTCTGCTCAATAACAAACTTTGTTCTATTAAACCGAGTATAGGTTACTGGCCGTCTTCTTGCCACCAGTGTCGGGGTTGGGAGGCTATTCTCTCCCACCTTCGCATTGGCCATACTCGTCTTACTCATAGATATCTCATGGAGAGGCGCCCTGCTCCTCTCTGTGAGAATTGTCAGGCTCCATTATCGGTCAGCCACATTCTGTTAGACTGCCCACTTTATCAACGAGCACGCAGAATTTACTTCCAACGTTGTCTTCGCTCCGCTGCTCTCTCTTTACCTTCCCTTCTCGCTGATGGACCCACCTTTCATCTGGACTCTCTCATTGACTTTTTGACAACAACTGACTTACTCCACAAACTCTGATGATACCTTCAGCCCTTTCTACCTTAATCTCTTGCTACCCTCTACCCCTGCCCCGCTGTTTTCTGTAACCTACTAATCATCCCTCCCTCCTTCTGCCGCCCGATACCCTCGCTTCCTTCTCTACCCTGCAGCGCTGTATAGCCCTTGTGGCTTAGGGCTTCTTTTTTATTATAATAATAATAATTAAAACTAAATTATGATTACTAGTACTACATGAGGATAAGAATACAGTGGTACCTTGGGATACGAACAGCTCAAAACTCAAACAATCAGGTAAGTATATTTATGTAAGTGCTTTTGTAAGTGTATTTTTGCGGGTCTGAAATGGATTAATTTAATTTACATTATTTCTTATGGGAACAAATTCGTTCAGTATTGGCACTCAAACAGCCTTCTGGAACAAAATAAATTTGTATCCCGAGGTACCACTGTACTTAGTGTTTATTATATTGGAGGTATTCAGTAATTCAGTAAAAAGATTCTAATTAGTGATACATTAAGGATGAAGCCAAGTACCTAAGTTGAAGGAATGATGGAACAAGAATGGACAATACTGGATGAAAGACAGGTTTCGGAGTTTCAGGAATTGTGCAACATAATGAATTATTGTCAGGCTCTCATTCAGGTAAGGAAGTGCTTTTAAACAGTAGTTTTGAAGTGGCTGGCAGATAGAGACTGGAATCTTCAGGCAGAGTTCCAGATTTTAAGTCTGTGCACACTTGAGTTTTTACATAGGTTGTTGGGCTATGAGACCTCTAAGTGAGTACAGATAGGAAGCACATCTGTCTGGTGTTCAGCAGACGAGGATCAAGCTTCTACCATGTCTTGTACTGAATGACCCAAATGGGGTTAGCGCTTAAAGTGAATTATTATATGTTAGGTTATGATGTCAATACGAATATTTTATTCTGCATTGCCTTCACTGTTAACAATAAATGTCATATTTATTTTGCAGGTGAAGGCAAAGTTACTGCAGCAGGTTGAAGCAGCTAAGAAAATGAAGACAACTAACAGAAACATGCGTGAAACTGTGAAATATATCAACTCATTTGCACTTGCTAATGGCCTATTCCAGTCCCTGAAATGTCCTCTGTGTACCAAGAGTTTTCGGGGCCAGGACTTCCTCCAGTCCCACTTGTGGCGGAAACACCCTAGTCAAGTCAGCTCTGTTACTCTTCCACAGACTACTCAGATGCCATCAGCTGTATCAAGTTCTTTTGTAGTGCCAAATGTAACTTCAGATATTAGACAAGAAGTACCTCATACCAGTGAATCTGTCCTTCAGTCTGCACCTTCAGGAACTAGAATTTCCTCAAATTTGAATGATATTGATTCATATAAATTATCTGAAATTGAGAAAAAATGCAATACAATGAATGAAAATTTCACAAAGATTATGAGAGAACTGGAGGAACAAAAAAGATCATTAGAAAGAGAAAACAAAAAGAGTCAGGAAGAAGTAAAGCGAGCACGGGAAGAAAAACATCACACAGAAAGAGAATGTGAAGCCCATTTAGAGAAATTAAGTGAGCAGCTTGTTCATCTCCAGAAGACAACAGTAGTAATGCTTCCACATCTGATACTGAAAGATTTGTAGAGCTCATAAAAAAACAGGAAAAAGAAATCCAGTTTCTACAAGCACAAATCCAAGAACAAACCGAATATAATAAAGTAAAAGGGAACAAAAAATGATGATACTGTGGATGGCTTATCTAATGAAATTCAAGCTCTCAAGAGGCAGGTGAGCAATGAGAAGAATTTCACAAACAATCCTTAAAACAAATGCAGGAATTGTTACAGAGAAATTATGGGAAGCTTTGGGAAAATCTGAGATGACTAAACTGAGAGAGATGATAAGGATATTGCTCACAAAGAACTGCAGCCACAGTCATTGCTCAGAAACCTCCACCATCACCCAAAACTCCAACTGTTGTAAAAAACCACCAGCACCAAAAATAGAACAACAAAACCCTTTACCTTGACCCAGGATTCCCACCTGAAAATTCTCACATGTTAACTTATCCCTCAGGCTAATGATGAACCTCATTTCCCATTCTGGGGAAAACCCAGATTCAGAAACTGAGCCCAGAATCTGAGAGTGAAACTGATACATCACAGTGGAAACCACAGTAACCTGAAAGTGACACAGCTTCAAATAAATACTCAAGTACAGAAAGGAAAAAAGAAATTACAAAACCAAATTTTTCAGAGAAATGATAGCATAGATTCCCGAACACCTATATCTTAAATCTTCAAAGAAGATGCGAGTCACTCTGAGAGTAACAGTTTCATCCGAATTATTAAATCTAGAGGCTTTGTTAAAGATAAATCCACAGCTGTGGAATCAAATGCGAGAGGCAAACATCAGATATTTTAGCATCAAAACTGCAAGCCTTTGGATAGATTCTTCAGAAAGAGGTATAAAATCTGAGGTCTGACTTCATGTTTATCTCAATTAAGAAAAGACAGGAGAAAACTTAAAGAAACTATGAAACATTTCTGGATCTGAGAAAGAAGTTAGAGAACAGGTTCGAGCAAAGGTTGATGACAAGATTGATAATGCAGAAGATAATTTTTGGGAATATATCCACTTGAAACAGTAAACAGTAAAACCAAAGAAAAACCCAAACCATAAACTTTTCAGGATGGTGAAAAATGTTCGGTCAAAAGTTAAAGAGCGTCACAAAGCTTTTTTCTTTCTTCGGTATCAAGAACTACGAATCGATGAAACTCGGGGTTAAAGATATATTTCATACTAGTCTTAAATCTGATGATAATATCAAGGCCATTTCAGGAACACGTAGGGTGTTCTGAAAAATCCAGAAGAAACTGCGGAAGATGAAAAGGGTGATGAGAGTTCATCAGAGACAGATTGCAGCACTCAGATAGAAGTTCATAATGAAACATCAAAATCCGTCCCCAAGAAACTTGTTTAATGATGAAATTCGTCAGCGAGGTCTGGTGCACGACCAAAACTTTATAACTATTTTGACAACCAAACATATGGAGAGGTTTTAAGAAGTAAGCGGATCTGAATGGGACTCAGAGCCTGAAAAAGAAAACTTTAAAAAGAGCCACCTCCGAAGAGAAATGATAGCCTGAATGCCTCACTAGTATCAGCTAATTTACACAATAAACTACTAGGGGCTGGGAGCCACTTAATCAAAGATAATTAAACTTAAGAAACCAGAAGGAACAGTGGTGAGCAACCTTTCTCAAAGCATTGAACTTCAGTTGAGTGGGCGAAAGAAGAAAAACCCGTTTGGGGGGGTGGGTGTGATGAGTGGCAGTGTGGTACATAATGCTAGTCAAGAGAGAGGAACATTTGTGGGAAAATCCTAACACTAATCAGAGCTCTTCCTATGCGAGTCAGCAACACAGTGTAAGTGATTCCTCCAACACTGTTTGGGACCAGTCTTTGGGGGTCAGTAATGCTGTTGATAAAGTTGCTCTGGAGCAACCTAAACTGTTCACTAGTAAAACAAAGATACACTGCATTCTTGGGACTCTGATGATGATATTGATGAAGTCAGATGGAATAATTCAAGAATGTAAATTTAACTGAGTTTTTTTGTTTAAATTAATATAATTTCAATAATGTACTTAGTGTTTTGTACTTATTTATTCACTATCACCTTGCTGCCAAACCAGTGCTTTCTTTTATATTTTGTAAATGTGAATTTTATGCAATTGCAGCTAGTGGTGAGTTCTGTTTTAGATATTTTCTACCTTATACTTTTATCTTTTCTATGCATGTCATAGGAATGACTAAAATGCTGGTAGCAAGGGCTAGTAACTGCTTCTCCTGTACACATTTCTAAAGTTTAAAAAAATAACTTTCTTTTTTTTTTTTGAGCTACCTGGCTTTCAGTGGATACAGCCAGTTTTTTTGAAAGAAAAAAGAAAGATTTAATCTTCCCATAAGGCTGTCAATCATATCCTTTTCAAAAATTTATTTTTTTATTTATTTATTTATTTATTATAAATTTGTGCACACATACAGAGGTACAAAAAAAATACAGATAAGAGCAGTATGCCAAAGCCACTTATACTATGCATAGCATTACGGGCTGGCTTAAAATTAACTTAAGATTAACTAAGCAATGATGAAGTCAGTGATAAAACATTAATGTAAACAGATTACTATAAAGCACAAGTGAGTATTACAAAGACAGGTCATATGAAGGATTCTGTTAGGTAGTGTATTTAAAAAATAATAAAGTTAGATTGGGTTTTAGGTTTAACATTTATGTGATATAATTGTGAGAAACATTTAAGATATACAATTTATAAGGTTCAGTTATTCAGTATTTATTGGTTTTGGGTGAGTAAGTGATCTTTGAGTAGAGACTTGAACTTATAAACAGGTAGTGTTTCTTTTTATATTTACAGGTAATGAATTCCAGATTTTAGGGCCTTTTATGTGCATTGAGTTTTTGCATATTGTGAGATGAACACGAGGAACATCAAAGAGTGATCTGTGTCTTGTGTTATGGTCATGTGCTCTGTTGAGGTTGGCAAGGAGATGTTTGAGGGGAGGGTTAATATCAGAGTTAAGTGTTCTATGTATGTAATAGGTGCAGTAATAAGTATGGATGTTTTGTATGGTGAGTGGGTTTTAAAGTGTATTGAATATTGGTGGAGTGTGCTGCCTGTAGTGAGAATTTGTTATCATTCTAACTGCAGCCTTTTGTTGGGTAATTAGTGGTCTGAGATGGTTAACTGTTGTTGAGCCCCATGCACAAATTCCATAGGTGAGATAGGGGTAAATAAGAGAGTGATATAGGGCCAGGAGGGCTGACTGTGGAACATAGTACCGTATCTTCGATAGTATGCCTACAGTCTTGGAAATTTTCTTAGAAATTTGTTGTATATGTGTATGAAATTTGAGTCTATTATCAAGGTGGATTCCTAAGAATTTTCCCTCTGTTAGCTTTGTGATAGGTGATCCGTTTATCATTATGTTAAGAGGACATCTGTAGCTCTGTTACCAAACTGAATGAAGTAGGATTTTGTCAATGTTTAGTGTAAGTTTGTTAGTCCTCATCCAGGTAGATATTTTCTGTAATTCGGTATTTACAGTATTGGCTAGTGTGACTGGGCTCGGTGAGAGAAGACGTATGTAGTGTCATCTGCAAATAGTGTGGGTTTGAGTAATTGCGAAGCATTTGGAAGGTCATTTATGTATAGGAGAAAGAGAAGAGGCCAAGGACACTTCCCTGTGGGACACCAACTGTAATTGGTTGCGCAGAAGAGTTTGCCCCATTTGCGTACACATATTGGCTTCTGTTGCTGAGGTATGACTTGAGGTAATTGAGGGAGTGCCCTCTTATACCATAGTGTGACAATTTTACGTGGAGCAAGTCATGGTCAACTGTATCAAAAGCTTTACGTAAGTCAATGAAGATCCCCAGTGGGACTTCTTTTTTCTCTATTGCAGTGTATATATGTTCTAGCATGTGTATAATAGCATCATTAGTATTTTTATTAGGCCTGAATCCAAATTGGCAGGGGTTGAGTATGTTTTGTATGTTCTATATAATTTGAGTATGTTCTATATAATTTAGTTTGTAGATGATGCAGTTAATGTATTTCTTCAGAATTAAGACATTACTTATGTCCACATTAAACTTCATCTCTCAATTTTTCAGCCTCAGCATTCTGAAACTTTTTGATATCTTCATAGATTTTTTTTTTGGGAAATTTTCCTATTTGTGCCATCATTGAAGTTTTACTTATTTATTATCTTATCTGAGTCATTTTTTTGTGAGTAACAAAGGGTACAACAGTTAGCCCTGTAGAATGCCACTCAGGATGCTTCCATTCTAACTTCTCCCATTTGCCCAAATTCTTTGTTGCCTCTCAGCAACTATACTTCAGTCCAGGAGAGAACTACTTCAAAACTCTGTACTACCACTTTTTTTTTAACCCAATTTCACTTGTGGTTTATCCTGTATCCTGTAAAAGGGCCCTTTGCTAAATTTCAAACAGTGTCATTATTTTTAAATCACTATCCACTGTTTCAGTTTACCATATGCTCATTCAGGTTTACCTTGAACTGTATACACCATTATTGAGTCAAATAATTTTCTCACTGCTATACTCATGAAGATCAAGTTGATAGGGCAATACTGTAAGTCACTGATTATTCATTGCTGTCAGAGGATGGTGGGCCAGATTTTCAAAAACACTAGATGACTGCATTTTTTTTTTTTTTGTATGGTCCCCATTGTTTGCACATACATTTTCAGCATTATCTGTTTAACTGCTTTGTATCAAAATCTGTACTCCATTATAATATTTGATGTTGAATAATCAGTTGCTGCATAACTGATAATTAACTGTAATTAGAAGCTAAGAACCTAACTCCCATTTTGTAAATATCCATTATTTTGGCAGTCCACCACACTTGTGGCATATCTTTTGCAATGATTTATGCAATAGTTTAATATATATATTCTTCTGTATTGAAGAAGCCAAGAAGCTACAAAAACAGTTTGTTGGGATCCGAGCTCTTGTTTGGTCCAGTTTGTCTGCTTGCTTGAGAATAATGTCACTGGTAATGCTGATCTCACATAATTTATTTTCAGGTCCTCTATAATTATTAATTTA